CCCAAGAAAGGCCTGGTAAATGAGGAATAACCAAAGGAGAGCAAGGTATCATCCAAAGGAACACCAAGCAGAAGTGCCCGTGTTGCTTCATCATCTGCACAGATCATCAGGTTCAGTGGGTTTCCAAGGCTGCAGATCTTCTTTGCTGGGGACATCTCCTTTTTCTGAGAGAAATACATTGTATCAGTATTCAGGATGAAATCTGTGGGATTTAATGTGCTTTACCATTCTCATGGGCTCCCTAAGCCCCAAACCAGTGATTGTCTTGAGAAAATCATCAGTCTGCAGTGCTGCACTGAAAACGCCAATTAAGCAGCATAGTGAGAAGGAAGAGGGAACACACTTAGAAAAAGGGCTGTTGTGAAAAATGCAAGATGAAATGGATTACCTCTCTTCTTGCCTTTAGTGGCTGCAACCCAAATGTCATATTTTGTCAGTTCTGGACAGGATAAGGAAGGAAACCCAGCTCTAATGGCTGATACATATTTTCTATGGTTTCATAAGGTATTTTGCCTCAGTCGGTCTGGTCTTTATACAACAGCCTGTCTAATGAAGTCATTCTGTTGTCCTTTTCAACAGTTTTGAAGTACAGCATGTGTTGATTATCTCAGCTGAACGAATCTGAGTTCATTTAGAAGTTGCTTTGTTTTGACATTTTTTTTTTCATTTCTTTGTTCCTCCCTTCTCTGTCTAAAGCACACAAAATTGTTTGTAGAGGGAAAAACATAAACAGTGTGATTTAGTATGATAAAGAACAGCTTGTTAGAAATGTGCTTTTGGTGTATGTGGAACATAAGCTTTTCCTCTTTCTATCATGCCTTAGTACAGAAAGCATTAGCTGAGGTTGCTCTGGGACTTTATAAACCCCACTTTTCTTCTGTCTGTAAAAGCCTGAAAAATTATTCTTTTCAGTTGAAATGATGTGCATTTTCCTTTAAGATGAAGACAACATTTTGCTAAAGTTTGAGTAAAACTCACACACTTATTTTTTTATTTTATGAAAATCATTAATATTTTTGGAAACAAATCTTTTTGCAATGATTAGCTGTGACATAGAAAATCTATTCATTTTTTCCTTTCTTTTTTTTTTTTATCCAGCTCAAAGGAAGACAATGAGATTTTGCTATCTCTCCACTGAAACAAAATCAAATCCCATCCCTTCAGCTGAAAAATCACGTGTGACTCACTCTTATAGCCAGGCCATCCTGCAAATGTGGACTGCCATTAAAGTTGACTTTAACTCACCAAGAGTTGAAGCAGCTGCATATCTGTTTATTACAACAACAGTCATATGCATTCACTAAATGTCAACCTATATGTCTGGGGCTACATGCTGACATAAATACATCTAATGCATGTTAATTATGAGGTAGTGTTTCACTCTGGAGATCTATCACTGCATAAGCTTTCTTAAAGGAGCACAACTCTCTCAGCGTTGAGACTGATGTGTTTGGGCCTGCTTCTATGGCTTCACTTGCCCAGGCAAAGTGCAGAAGCAAGAATGCTTTGAATAAAAATTCAAAGCTGACATGCTTTGAATAACAAATAAATAATGGCATGCAGGTAAGGATGCAGTTCTGACGAGCAGCTAAGGAATCTCCCAGCTACTGAGAATGGTTTGCATGAATGGGAGAGGCTGAGCACTGAGGGCAGATCTTGGGGCTGGGGAATGGGAGCTCTGGAACCTCAGCCAGCCCTTGTGTCTCTCTCCGCCCCGGGCCCTCTTTCTTCCCAGGCAGCGGGATGAAGAGCAAGGTATTTGCCTTGAGCAACAGGAACATGTATGGAGCTAGATGAACAGAGATGGATGGGGCAGTGGATGGAGTTACCACAGGCTTAGAGGCTGCTCTGTGGTTGTGACACTGCCTCTGCATGTGAGTACAGTCCTGCCTCCTCGCTGTGCCCGTCCCCTCTCCCTGTACAGTGCCTGCCAAGAGGATGCACTGCAGAGGCTGCATCTGTTGTTCAGGCAGACCTGGGTACACAGGCCATGGGGAGCTGTGCTTCAGTGAAGACACATTTTGTCTGGACCTCTGACAGCAAGAGCCATCAGGGCTGGTGGCTGTAGCTGGAGAGAGTGGGGCAGGGGCAAGCAGGGGAGATCTTGACAGGCAGGGGGTAACGGCAGCTTTGCTGGGCTAGAGAGAGGGGAGCAGAGCTCCCTTTGCTACAGAGTGGAGATCACAGGTTTATTTGCAGGGGAGAAAATGGGTTACCTGTCAGATCTGGAGGTTGGGGTGCAGAGCATCAGGACAGGCTAAAGCAGACACCAGATGTAAGGAGCACAGGAAGAGATGGATGCGTACAGAAAAGAAAGGGGAACATGAACTAAAAATATGACAAAACACTGGTACAGAGAAGGTATTTCAGGGTCTTCTTTCTTTTTATATCAGAAAAGGGGACAGACTCTCTAAATAACAGGCCACATATTCCTGACGAAGGAATCCATTTCCAGCCGCAGCCTAATGAAACGTGTGGATGTGCTGCTGCAGGAGCTCCCAAAGGTCAGGTGTACGCAGGATACAAAGAGGGGCTAGACTTCTGCGCAGAAATTAAGATGGTTCATGAGGAACTTCTGGCCCATTAAGGAGCATATATTTCAGAAATTTCACAGAAAAGTTTACTGTCATGAGATTTTTGTCTAAATTTGCAGACACTAGAGGCTGAGGTGCTTTGTATACGCATTTTGAAAGAATAACTGATGTTTGGATGCTTATGTATATATAGCACCCTCCAGCTGGGGCTTTGCTTCTCTCTGGCAGAACCAGTAGGATGAGCAACAGCTTTTGCCACTGCAGATATTTGAGGAAAGCAAACATGATCAGATTTATCAAGCTGTTCCCTTAGCACAGCATGAACTTTAGCTTTAGAGTTTCTAAGAGAATTGATCAGTCAGTCTCTTGAAGATAGAAACTCTTAGGTAATTAGGAAGATGGCATTATTCAGAAGCCTTTGCTTTTAGTACCCTTTACCAAACAGTTGGGTTTGGGTAATTATAGTCCCTAGGGGATAGGTTTCAGTGATCGACAGCCTCCAGCAATGCATAGGCCTCATCCTCCCAGCTGCACAGAGAAGTGAAATTGCACACAGAAGCAGTTTCTGTTTGAATTTGCAGCAGCAGGGATTTGTGTGTGTGTGCATGTGTGTATGTCTGCGTTTTTTTCAGGTTTATCAATTACAAATGGAAGAGATAGGTTCAGTGCACAACGTTTCCCTTACAGCAGCACCAAAATCACTTTTGGAGTCCATCAGCAATTAATGTACTGTGATTTTTTAACTCCTTTCTTACTGGTAAGCTACTCTTAAAACTCACCAAGTCAAGTGCAAAATCCATTAACCTATATGTACCATTAATGCAGTATATGAACAAAAGTGAAGGCTTTTATTCACCTTTCTAAAGGAAAGAAAAGCAGTTGCTAAAATTAACGGATGTATGCAATTACACAATGCTCCTGTATATGAGAAAATCTGGAACTGTTTAGCAATAATGTCTTTCTCAGCACAGTATGCATGGCTAGAAGTAAAGTACTAGTGGATGTTGCTGCTCTCCAGTTTGCTACAAAGAATTTTTGAGCAGAACCAGCTATACTTCTTGTTATGAATAACCCAAGGTATTGCAGTATTTCTGGAATTTTCCACATCATTTTCCTGTGAAAAAGCTGGCAGATTCCACACATTTTCTTTTGAGTTATTTGGTGTTCTTTTACTTCTTAATTCAGTCTGAATTCTGAATTTCCTGGATTCCAAATATCTGTCTGATGTATTACCCATCAGGCCACTGATGTGTAGCTCTAACCTGAACAGCAAATTGAGTGAGGGGATTGATTCGATTAGCAGCTGTTCATTAGACTTTCTTTTTTCATTTTAAACTAACATCTGTGTTCTTATCTAAGGGACTATAATATCATAAACAGCACAGGGTAATTTCTTACCATGAGGAAGTTTTAGATGGATGGATTGCAATTAATTGTCAACTGCCTCTAAAGCCATTTTGAGATTTTTTTTTTTTTTATTTTAGGCTAAACTGTCTGATTAAACAGTCATCAAATGGAGAGCCAAGGACTCAGATTCATTAAGCAGAGATCAAAAATCCCTCAGAAATTAAGTCTGAGGAGAGGCGGAAATTTACTTGGAGGTGCCTTGCAGGCTTTCGTTATATATGGACATGGCATAGGGATGCATTGGGCAGAGATAGCTCTGACAAATGAGCTTAATCCCTTGGAAAAATCCAGCCACCTGAGTAAACTATATTAGCTTTAGCAAAGTAACAGGCTGCAAGGGTGGTATAGCACTCTGTGAATGCATCCCAAAGATGGAGGTAGGGAAAGTGAGGCTTAGCACTTTAAGGGAATGAGGAATTTGATCTGAAGATGAGTATTTCAGGTGAAATACTCTTTTGGCAATTAGGGTAAAGGGCAATGGTCACACATCCAGCCTCACGCAGGTGCCAACATTTCAGCCCCTACAGAGGGCTTATATTCAGGTTTATGTTTCTGTGGTCTCTATGTTTTACACAGGCAGCCTTCCCTTCCCTGCACTGAAGAACACAAACTCTTCCTACTCCAGCCAATTTTGTCAGATTAACAGCCATCAGCACTGCCCAATAGAGCACCTCAGGACTCACTACAGCAAATCCTGACCATGTAACATAGGAATGATGTACTATACAAAGCTGATGATGAGCCCAGAGATTTCCATATGCTCAGAGCTCAGCTTCCCATAAAACTATTTTCTCTGCATCCATTTATCCCTTAATTAGTGTGGTACCACATGAAAGCCCACACTCTCCCACATTTTCTGTCCTCACTGAAGATGTTCCAGTATATTTAGGTCCTTCTTACAAACACAGCACAGAAATGCTTCTTTGCATTTGATCCACTTGAATGGTATAAGCACAAACAAGGAATGCTGGTTTGAAGCCAGGGCAACGAAGGAGCAGGAATGGATGCTGTAGCAAAGAGTCAGTAGCCTTTAAGCTCACAAACATATGGCATTTATTTGAATCTGATGGTTTCTTTCTGAGGCCCTGAGACACTAGGTTCATATTATGATGCAGGTCTAGCTATAGAGCTTTTGTACGCATATGAAAGTTCTTCATGATGTAACTCATAGTTGCATGAGTAACCATGTGTTCTGGTTACTCACACACATGGACAAGCAGTGGGAAAGGTGCTTCTGAAGCAAAGAGAGCCATGGAGTGGCAATCTGAGTTTCAGTCAGCTCTACAAGGCCATGCACCATAGAGTGGGAGAAAAGCTGTGCCCTCTTTGGCTTTGTGTCACTGGCTGGAGGAAGTGTGAGGGCCTGTGTCATTGAGGAAGGCATTGGTGCTCAGCCAAAACACGCCTTGAATGTAAGTGACCCACAGACACCTTACACGTAAAGTTTCTATTGGCAAAACTTCCTAGAATGAAGGAGGCTGAAGAGGAGGCAAACTGAGGTAATAGGGGCATAGGAGAGAATGAAGGAGGGAGGACAGTGCAGGAGAAAAAAATAACAAAACCTGGGTAATCATCCAGGCCACAGGTGGGCAAGACAAACGCAGTCTCAGAAGTAGAGTCCCACCAGTGTGCCTGATGTCTTATCTGCCATCTGAGCCCACAGCTGGATCTTCTCTCCCCTAGGCAGAGGACATGAGCTCCACCTCCATGCTAGCACTTTTCCGTAGGTCGGGAGAAAAAAAGAAATAATTATTCAGCTGACAGGCCCTGCCTGAATTTGTTGCCTGCTCTGATTGCCATGAGGCACAGGGGCAAGTACACAAGCCTGCTCCTGTTCCAGGAAGCTCCCACTGCTGAGATGACCCAAGTGTACATGATGTGTAAGCTTTCAGAAACCCCAGTGGATCTCTCTGATGAGTAATTGTGTTCATTTGTTTGTACAGATGGTAGTGAACACCTTAAAACCTCAGAGTGGGATTTCTGTTTGCTGGCACTGTCTGGTTAAGAGGGTTCCCACTTGCATATAAATTGTGTTGGTTGCTTCTGATTTTCTGTAACCATCCTTTCAGCTCATTCAGCATCTATAACAACCAGCCAGCACTAGATCCATGAAAGTTAAGCTCCTAACAATGTTAGACACCTTGCTGGGAATGTATTCCCCCACAGGAATTTCACATCCCATTTCTGACAAATAATGCTGAAATGCAGGAATTCTCCTCTAAACAACTATTTCAAATCTCACCTGATCCCTGCTGATAGTGTCTGTGATCTAAACCACTGAAAAATGTTATTTCCACTGCACAGGCTGTTTTTTCTACTGCCTGTGTTAGAAGACTTACCAGTACTGGTCAAAACTGAAGCAGCTGCCTCAGCTCTTACTCATGGCCCAGTCACCAGAGGTGGAGCAAGACCATCTGGGTTCACCTGCAGAAGAAACAGCCACACTGCACAAAAAACAGATGTCTTCAGCTCATACAGGTGGGAAGCAGAACAGGGAGGACCAATAACTCTTCAGCCAAATTAGGCAATCTTGTTTTACTCATTAGGAGATGGACCAGAAATTTATCCCATGAAACTGAATCTTCCTTAGGCTATCGAATTGTGGTACCTCCATACTCTAGTAAACAATGGATTAAAATGTAGAAAATCAATAAATACAGTTATTTCAACTGACACTGAGACCTGGATAGTGTTTAAAGGATTTTGAGGGACAAACATCTATATATTGAAAGTAATAGTGAGCAAGAAAAACAAGGGTTTTACTGTTACTAAACGGACTCAACTGTTGCTGCTGTCTTCACAGAAAATGATGAGGACTCTGGAATTAATTTAAAAGACAGCATTATATCTGTCTGGATTAAAGCTGCACTATCTATGTCAACTTCCATCATCAGCTTTTTGAGAAGTAAGATGCTTCTTGTTAATCAAACCCTGGAGGACTGAGTTTCCAAGAATGACATAAGCAGTTATCTTAAGCATGCTACACTGCATATCTTAGCCCCTAGCCAACTCAGCTGCATATCTAATTGCCTTTTTCTGTCTCTCCTGTATAGAATCAGGCCTGGCCAGGCAGAAGGAGGAGAGGAGTCATGCTGTTAAAGCAATGTCTCTCAGCCCATCCATATGAGAACAGTCACTGGCACAGGTGCTGGTAGTGGAGGGGATGCAGTAGTAAGGCTAGTTTCAAGCTTCAGGGCTTACAGAAGGAATTTGATTTTGCAGATGGTGGTCTAGCCCATTATGCCTCTCTCTGGTTACTGTTCTGGAGCTCCTTGAGGGCTCATGTGGGGCAGCAGTGGGGTGCAGCCTTGTTGTGATGCGTACAGGCAGCCGTGCAAGCTGGCAGCATGGGGAAGGAACAGGAAGTTATGTGGCCTAGCACCAGCAATGCCTTGCAGTGCTGTAGTAAGCAGCAAGGAAGCAGACAAAAGCCCCTGGAGCTTCCCTGCAGGGCCCAGTGATCCTCTAGGAGGAGTGATGCTGTGAACCATTAGGGTATGGGGTATCTTGATCCTGGGAAAATGGCCTGCCACACACTGGAGGCAATTTCAATAGCCAAGAGCAGCACCACACAGCTAAAATGTAGCTGTCCTAACACACACGCACAGAGCCCCCCTTCTAGATGCTCAGTGCTATTGATGCTCTGCCACTGTGGTTCCGCTCATGCCCTGCTGTCGTGGTTTAAACCCAGTCAGGTAACTTGTTCACTCACTCCCAGTGAGTGGTGCCGAGCTGACAACAATCAAGGTCCGTGTCCGTCTCCCCCTGCCCTGCACCGGGGCTCTCCCCTTCCCCGCTCCCGGAGGAACGGGGAGGAGGATCGAGAGAGTGCAACTCCTACGGGTTGAGACAAGAACAGTCCAGCAACAAATCACCACTGCTACTATCAGCTAAAACAATGATAAGGGAAAATAACAAGAGAAGAGAATACGATACCACCGGCCAAGAAAGCGAGTTCCACCCGGAAGCCCCTGTCCTTCCGGGTAACTCCCAGTTACCCCCCACCCCGGGCATGACGTGCTGTGGTATGGAATACCTCCCCGGCTAGCCCGGGCCAGGCGCCCCGTCTCTGCTTCCTCACAGCCTCCCCTCCTCCCTGGCAGAGCATGAGCCTCACAGAGTCCTTGGTCAGGGTAAACATCACTTAGCAACAACCGAAAACATCGGCTTCACCAACGCTGTTCTCAAACTAGAAGTCAAAACACAGCACTGCACCAGTTAACACAAAGGAAAAAACATGACTGCTACTGCTGAACCCAGGACACCTGCCTTAACACTGTTTGCAGAGTACCCTGCATTTTACTGGAGCTCACGTGCCTGTTTATGCCCCTGCCTGTGCTTGCTGCTGGCTCCCCTGCAGCCAGCCTTGTTTTCATGTCCTCAGAGCACAGCCCACCTTCTGCTACCACCAACCACTAAGTGAATCTACTATAGACAAGCTCTGCTTCTTTGGAGGGTTCTCCTGTCCCATGATGACTATGGGAGAGTGGCTAAAATCTCCACTAAAAATTTTTAGGAAGTATTTAGTACCTTCCATTTTAGTCATTCATTTTACTAGCGCCACTTACCTAGAAAAAAGTGAATCAGTCTCTGTGGGAACCACCTTTCTCTGACTGTTCCTCCTATATCCTTGAGTTTCTACACCATAAAATAGTCTCCCTTGCTATGCTTCAGGTTCCACACACCAATTCTCCTCCACCATGTTTCAGATAGAAGAAAGGACTCTCAACGCTAAGCTTTAAATCTAAATACTTTCTTGAGTACAGGCAAAGTTGCCATTCTGGTTTTTATTATATGGAATTATAGTTAAATGTGATTGTGCATATATATTATTTCCTACTATGTTGTTAAGCAAAATTTCAGCAGAAATATTTTGCTCTTTCCTTTGTCAATTTTCAAGTCTATTCTAGGATCTAAATTGAGGAAAAACCTGATTTGATTCAAGTAAGATTGACTTGAGTTGGGATCAAGATTATTAACTTGATTATAGACTGTTTCATCTCTTCAGGGGTCAAAGGAATTTCCATTTACCTTAGCATCAGTCCAAGCAACTGAAGAAAGATTTTATATTTTTTTACTTTATCTTGCTGCTTTTCTATGCTGGGTCTTGTTATAACTCTTGTGGTGAAGACTACAGAGAAACACAAAAACCCTTTACGTTCTCCAATGCTCTCAGCCACTCACCATTACTACTTTTCTGTGCAGACTCGCACAGATCCCAGTCTTTACTGTAAAGGTGCCTTATTAGATGTTGTGCACATAAGGCATTGTGCGTATCAGCAATGCGTACATCAGCAGACACATCTGACCATTAACTTGATAAAATCCTCCAAAAGAACAGTGCATAATATTTAAATAAAACTGTGCTGTGATACAGCAGTTCCAGCAAGAGATGGCTGCCTTTTGGCCTTGTATCTGTATGTGCTTGTATACATCACCAGCTCCAGCCGCTGAAGTGAGTAGCGATAAAAGATTTATTTTGAGACAGTACATTACCTTGAATAGCATCACAGTCTTGGGTACCAGTGACAAATGAATAATGGAAGCACTTTTTCTGCCAATAGTCTGTATATTTGTCTATTGCAGCTCCTGCCAACAAGCTTCTGAATTAGTGTTTGCATAACTAGGACATGAATTTACATAGAGTATGAATAGCTATTATTTACTATGGGTTGTTTTGCAGATGCAATACATTTTTATACTTTTATTTCTTAAACCATATTTCTCAGAAACCAGAAAGCAAGCAGGCAGTCTTTCATTTAATTTTTAAACTGATGAATGCAAAGTGGCAAAGCTGATCAGTCCTATAACTCCACAGTAAATCTTCTTTTGAGTTTAGAACTTAATATCCTTATGCACATGGTCTGCCCCTTTGGTGCACAAACTGGCAGCTAACTTGCACACAAGAAGGAGGTATCTGCTTCAGACGGGCTACATTCATATTTTTTTGCCAGTAAGCTTTGTTATCAATCCTTTCTCACCTAGCCTATGCACTGAATGAAGATCAAAAGGTAAATGACTGTTCAGCTGAAGACCAGACATAGATATTTTGGGGTGCTGTAGGAGTTTAACCCCCATCACTGCTACTGAGCTGTGTCTGTGCAGCATCTGCAGTGTCTGCTACATAACCTGGCTCTGGCTGTATGGCTGACACTGGAACTACATCCTTTCCTGAGATATAAGGAAAGGATCATAAGGTGGAGGCAGAATGGAAAAGGTTAAGACCAACCAAACTTTGGCCTATTTCCCATCTCCTTCTAAAGAGATTTATGCCTAGGAGAAACAAAGGGACAAGTGGTCCTT